TTTCCATTTATTGATGATATCTGATAAAGATTTGGGAAGACGGGCACATAGAAGATAATGAAATTTCCATTTTTAAATATTTGGAAATTCCTTTAATGGAAAGCCGATGATAATGAATCTGGCTGCTGAACATAGCTGTCACGATTTGTGGGATGGTTAGGACCCAAAATGCAGAAACCAGGATAACACGAGGCAGTAGTAGATGTAAAGAAAAAAAATCCTTTTATTTGTAGGATGATTCTAAAAAACATAAATCCAAAAGGGTAGGAAGCCAAAGTCCATAAAACCCTGGGACTGATCAGGAGATCAAAAAGTACAAAAACGGAAGCTCAAAAACTGAGCACGGACACAGGCAAAACTCTGGGGAGGACAGACAAACGTAGACACAAAACAACACTGACAAACAACAATGAACCGACAAGACACAGAGACAAGACAGGGCTTAAATACACTGGGGCATAATGGGAGGCAGATGAGCTGCAGGTGTGTGGAGTGTGGGGGGAGGACCAGGTGAAAGCAATGACTAATCAGGGAAGAAACTAACAAGACCTAAGAGTGAACCTAAAAGCAGAAAAGCAACCATATAACTAAAATTCTAAAGGGAAGGAGAACTACAAAAACCGGTGGGACAAAACATTTTAAAGAGACTAATAAAAATGAAAAGCTGAAACTATAAACACTGCAGAGGGATGACTGGCTGCAGAGTGGTGACTGGAGAAGACTAAAGGAACACAGGAGACACATAAATAAGATGCAGACAAAGGACACATGAGGGCGCTATGAAACACAAAAGGAGAACCTGGAGTGGAAACTGGAGTGGCTGGGGAACAAAGGGAAACAGAACATGACAATAGCTGGTCGGATGCTTTACAGTTGATGTGTTATCTGCTATGAGATGACATATATTTTATAAACAACTATGATGCATTTTTTTATTTAATAACTTTTTTATTTTATTTTTGTGATATAAAATTACACAGTCAGCCCAATTCTGCCTGTGATGACCTAACTGCCCAGTCGTTGGATGAGGCAGAGGGGGTCATCGAGATGGCCAATTCACACTTAACCCACAAAATAAACAATCAATTATGAACAGGGGTCTGCTTCTAGACCTGCAGAAAAGGGACCCACAACAATACAACAGGGGTAAGCTATCACTGCGTCAACTTGATGAAGAAATATAAAATCAACATTGTTTTATTGAACAATCACACAATAATAACTCACAGTCCATTTAGTGCCAACCACAGCCTTAAGACACGTGTTGAACATGCCCAAGGCCATACTTATGAGAGCACCTTGTGAGCACCTGTGTGTGTACACGCGCTTGTATATGGAAGGTTTCTCTATAGGAGCATCCAATAGAGAGTGTGAGGGGCCACAGATTGCCCCCCCAAAGATGTGTAGGAGATGGAGGGAGTTCCAAGTCCCAGAGATACAGGAGCAGCCCCAGAGCACAGGGACTCCAGGCAGACTGCGACCAGAAAAGTCCCTGCCCCCCTCGAGAGGCGCAGAGTATTGCCACGGGGGGCCACAACCAGCAGTCGGCAGAGTACTGGGAGATATCTGCGGCAAGCCCATAGGCTCGCCCGCAGCCTCCCACCCCCCAGCTGGTCAAACCCAGAACCCAGCGACCCGGGACCCAGGGACAACCACCCCAGCCTAACCCTAACCCTAACCCTGAACCACACCTTCTAAGTGCCAAATTCCAATGCTACTTTGTAGAAATTCCATCCTAACAGAAACCTATGTTTGAATAGTGCTGTTGTGTTACATAAAAACGGTGGTTATGAAGAACTTAAACTCAAGCAATCTTCAGATTTTCAGATGTCATTCAAATCCCACGTTAAACAGGTTTGTAGGATTTCCTTTTTCCACCTTCGGAATATTGCTAAGATTAGATACATCCTTTCCAGGAGGGATGCTGAAAAACTAGTTCATGCATTTATTACATCAAGACTGGATTACTGTTATTCATTACGCTCAGGAAGTCCACAGAATGTAGTTAAAAGTCTTTCAGCTTGTCCAAAATGCTGCAGCTAGAGTTCTGATGAGAATTAAAAAGAGAGATCATATCTCTCCTGTCTTAGCTTCCCTATATTGGCTACCTGTTAAATTCAGAATAGATTTTAAGATCCTCCTTCTCACATATAAAGCTCTTAATAATAAAGCTCCATCATACATCAGTGACCTGATTGTGCCATATGTTCCTAACTGAGCACTTCGCTTTCAGACTGCAGGTTTACTGGTGGCCCCAAAAAAATCAAAAATATGATAGGAGGCAGATCTTTTAGTTATCAGGCTCCTCTCCTGTGGAACCAACTCCCAGCTTTAGTCCGTGAGGCAGACACCTTATTTACTTTTAAGACTAGGCTTAAAACATTTTTATTTGATAGGGTCTATGGTTAAAATCTGATGTTAGCCTAAATCTGGACAAGTGGAGGAGTAGAGGGAGGTGGAGTGTAGAGTCGGTAAAGACGGCTCTCCCTTGCCCTGCCTCCAACATGCCTCCATCTAAAAAAGCTAGGTTATCCAGAGTTATCTCTGTAGTTATGCTGCTATAGGCTTAGACTGCTGGAGGGCAAATTGACCACTTTCCACATTCAACTGCTTTCTTCTACAATCTGCTCTTTAACTGTATTATTTCCTGCAATTTCAGCTGTTAACTTTATTTTTCTCTAAGTTTTTTTCTCCCCGGAAGAAGCTACAATGATGTTCTGCTGAGCTGTTGTGGCCTCATGGAGGGGGCCATTGGCTTGAACACTGTTGCTAACCATTTAATCATTCTCCCTCTCCTGATATTAACATTTTGCTGTCCTTGACACTGAATGTGCTACTACTAGTTTACCCGTTTAATTATAGATTCACTAGGATAAATACAATAAAGTTTATCTATCACTAAATAGAATAATTACTAAGGCATCACAATATAACTGTAGACACATTACTTGTGTGTGTGTGTGTGTGTGTGTGTGTGTGTGTGTGTGTGTGTGTGTGTGTGTGTGTGTGTGTGTGTGTGTGTGTGTGTGTGTGTGTCTGCTCTGTCTTCTCGATCCCCAGTGAGTCGTGGAGGATGGCTGCTTATACTGAGCCAGGGTTCTCTGGAGGTTTCTTCCTGTTAAAAGGGAGTTTTCTTCTCCACTGTCGCTATACGCTTGCTTAGTATGAGGATTGCTGTATAGTCACTGACACTAGTCAGTAACTCGATGCAATTTGCTGGGTTCCTTATATAGGAAACTTTTTTCCTGATTGGCTTAATGAACTGACCTGTATTGGAATGTTTATTGTGTGAAATGCCTTGAGACAACTCTTGTTGTGATTTGGCGCTATATAAATAAACTTGAATTGAATACAATTGAATAGATCTAAAATTTTAAGCTGTTGTGACAGAAGAATTAGATCTTGACCAGTTTCAACTTATGTGTGATCCCTGTGGTGCGCAGTGGTGAAGCTGGGAGGAAGTTATAGAATGAATTCAGGAGCACGGCCTTTAGGTTTGTTTGTCACCAAGCCACAAAGAGTGTATTAGCTGTGCCACAAAACCCCTGGGAAAAGAAACTGCACTTTTTTGTTTTTTGGCCTGTCGTCCAACACTGGGACATTACTCAAGTTAAATTAAAGGTTCTGCCTCCACGCCTTGGCAGGGACAGCAATTATGTCCAACTCTGGCCCGTCTGGTCACCATCCAGGACCCAACACTTCTCATGCTTTCATGGACTGGTTGGAAACAGTGGGGATATCCCTAATGGGAGTGTTTCTGTTTCAGAGGCCCTGGCATTCGCCTCACCCCCGAGCTGTGTCTCGCCATTGGCCTGACCTTCACCCAGGTGATGGATGCAACCACACAACGCTTCAGTGTGGAATGTGTCTGTGCACATTTTAGACTAAAACATTTATTTGGGTTGAAAACAAGCAAAGGCGAATTTTTTTTCTTCCTTGCCTTATTATACAAGTTTTCCTTCAAAGGTATAGCAATCGATGTTTCTGAATTTCAGGAAAGAACTACCCTCTCCACGTTGTGCAACACTCTCCCAGCGCCTGTTTCAAGTAGCTGCCGGCCGTAATGTGTAATAAGAGGCTCTAAAATTAGCATGCAGAATGTTAGCTTACCTCTCGAGCAGAAAACCAGCAACAGGGGCGTCTGTGGTGAGCGGACTAGATGGCGTTAGCCTCTTCCTGATTTCCATGACAGTGCAGGGGTGCACAGAGTACACATGCGCAGGAAGTGAAAACTAACCCAGTATTGGCTTCACCAGAAATTGACATTTTTGCGGACCAGTGGTTGACGTGATCCACCCGAAAGAAAAACATTGATTGCTATAACTTTAATATTTACATAGCTTTACAACAAAAAAAAAATAGTAAACAACGGATTAATTTTATGATTTCATCAAAAAAAAAAATCTATTTTCAGATGTCATCTCATTAGCTTTGTCTTTTTGAACAAGTGGTCAGTTAGGCCACCACTTTCCCTGTAACTATCATTGCTTACATCCCGAGAATGAAAAACAGTGCAGCATCCTGTTCAAGCTGCAGAAATACAATACTTGGATATTATGTCACGACCAGAACTTGGAAGACCCGTGATGACACCAAACACAGTAAAAGTTTATTAAGAAGTCTCTATTGATGTAGCATTACCAGAGGAGGGCGAGGCAGGAGACAGAGTCGGAGAGGAGGCGTGGGTAAAAACCGGATCAGGACAAGCAGGTACAGGGAGCAGGCTGGAGACGTGGTAGAAGACAGGCGAGGGTCATGGTGGCAGGCAGAGTTCGAGGCAGGGGTCAGGCGAAAAATCGAGATCCAGAGGCTGTGAAGGCAAGGTGCAAGGCTGGAAGTTTTACTAACAAAAAGCATTCAATAATCTGGCAGGGGACTGGTGGCTGGCTGATGCATATATAGCAGGGGGAGCAGGTGTGTGTAATGAGCTGATAACAGGGCCAGGTGAGATGAATGAAGTGGCTGAGTGCTTGATGAGGTGGCAGCAGAGGCAGAGGAGGGTGAAAGACTGGGAGTCATGACATATTATGGTTTCGTTATTTATGAAAACAATGTGTGGTGTGTTATCCAAAGGGCAATTGTGTGAAAGTGGCTAAGTGAGAAAGGATTAGCCTGGCAAACCGTCCTATATGTAAATATGATTTCTGGCCACGACCCACAGACAGATCTTAGTCGTAAGGAAGAATCTACAGTTGTGTTTCAAACTGTCTCTGCACGCTATTGGACAGTGCTAGGACAAGCCAGAGCAACAAACTATGTGACATACTCACTGCTACAGAAGTAAAAAGACGGAGCAGTCCGCCTTACACTGACGGCAGGCCCGGAGTGGCTAATCGGGAGGGTCTGGAGAATTCCCGGTGGGCCGCGCGATGTTTGGACCGCATGGGCCGGTGCTCTCGTTTTTGTTTTTTATCATTTTATTTTTATTTTTTGGTGCCGGTGTTCAGTCATGGCACTGAGGCCGCCGGGCTGATCTCATACGCTCCTCCCGGCTGTCTCTACCTGCAGGCTGCAGCTCGGTTTTTTTTTCTTTTTCCCCTATATGTGCCTGTGCGCACCACGTGACCACGCAGTTGACGGAAAGATGGAAAGTAGAAAGAGCAAGGGTGGTGCGGAGAAGGCAAGAATTAAAAAGAGGAAAGCGCTGGAAACAGATGCAGCTAAATGTGCAAAAATGAGCACTTTTTTTTCTCAAACAAGCTTGCAGTCTTTAACTTCAAATGAAGATAAAACGGGTAAGGCAAGTCAAGATGTTAAACTTTTCCCGGCTGCAAATCACCATTCAAGTTAATTAAGCATCAATAATGAATTATATGGCGTCATGACATAACGTTATGTAATATAATTAACAGTATGATGTGACTGATGCCACCAAACTCTCTTGTAGCCCACAAGATCCAGTAGGCCTAATAAGCACCAGGCAGAAGCCCAGAATTCCAGAGCGGACATGTACAGGTAGGATTACTTATTGAGTCAGTGAACTGAATATTATTAAAATTTATATGATGAAAACTATCCTGGCTCTATATGAAAGTGTTCTAAAATGCTAGATGATTCAGCATTGATCAGAAAGCGTGTAAAAAAGGAAAATGAATGCTGAATTGTGACAATTTTCACACAATGTAGTGTCAGAAGAAGAGCCAGGAGCCAGCAGTGAGGGTATTGCTCCTGTTGGGATAGAAGGTGAGCCAACTCATGTGCAAACAAGCAAACATTAGTTTCATTATAATAATTTTAATGTCCAAATAATAGTAGTGACCTGTTGTATTTTTATTAGTAAATGCACAAAGCCCACAACAGATCGCTATTAGAATGAAAGTAAAATGAAACAAGCCTGCATATTTTGCCATTGAAAATATTTTAATTGGTTACAAAAAATGTGTTTTCCATATCAGATGTGCTAAAGCTTTACAGATGATTATTTTAATTGTGTTCAGGTGAGTATAGGGAAACTGGAAAAAATGTGAAAGGGAGTGCTGAGTCATTTCATTTTAAAGGTTTGAAAATCTCAGAACAGCTGTTTGAACAGAAGGTAGATTGTTATATTGTTAGAGAATGTGTTGTAAAGAACAATGTTGGAGATGTGCACTGATGTTCAAATAAACCTACATTGTAAAGCAACTCTTTCTTGCACTGAATTACAAGGCTTTACCGAGTAGTGTGCTTTTGTAGACTATACATATAAAGTTCTAACATGATTTTAATAATAATTCATTAAGTGGGCCGGTCTGGGGTCTGAAACTCCAGGGCTGAAAATGTGTCCCACTCCGGCCCTGACTGACGGAGAAGATGCAAACACATTATTTTTCCAAATACATGACAAGTACCTCTATCTGAACTTGACTTGTTGTTTTGCTCAGTCGCAGTAACATCCTGCCGAAATCGATAGATGGCTGTGATTGGCCCATCAAACAGATAGCGCAAGATCATTGGCAAGACCCAAAACGGTTCGAGCCAGCTGAGGGTCCAATGGACCTGCAGTGCAAAATTATTTTGATTCTGCTATGGTGTGTCTAGACTTCTAGGGTAAGAAAGGTATTGACTGCAAATATTAATTAAATGCAAATGTTATGGAGAGCTGAAAGAAACTGACTCTCAGAGAGCTCCACTGAGTCAAGGTAAAACACCTTAAGAAAGAGCTGCAAGGAAGAAACGAGTCCAAGTAACCATTTATACAACTGAGACAGGACAAAATTCATAATGGCATTCTTTAAAGTTGGCATACATGCATTATTTAAATAAATCTGCAGCGGTATCTAGTGTAAATGAAGTCCCCGTGGGTCATTCTCTGTAGGAGAGAGCTCTGGCACGCAATTTTTAGGAGGTAGAGGTTAGATAGAGGAGTGTGGGGCAGAAAAACAGGCTGAACGATTAGTAGTCTTACTCATTAGTATTCACGATATGCAAACATCTGGCTTCTGATTGGCTAACAACAATGCAACTCTACCACCGACTCTGTTTGTTTTGCAAAGGTGATGTGTTTTTTTTTTCACAAAAACCACAAAACTGGAAGAGTTTTATCTCATGGTGGTGTTACTAATGCTAACGCTCTACTCTCTCCTGGACACAAAATCAACAACAACCTTCCCCATCGTGAGTTTTTCCAGTATGACGTAGATCTGGCCTGCATTTTTAGTCCAAGCATCATCAGTGGCTGATGATAGAAGAATGGTAGAAGAATATTTTCACGTTCGACCTGCATTTGAAACCCAGAGTGATGAGATCACATTTTAAAAATAACACAAAAAATAAATAAATGAATGGTTTCCTCACCTTTAAAACTCAACCACAAATTAGATCCAATGTAAATACAAAAATAATTTAATGCTAAAACTTGGAGGAAATATTTTTAACATCTGTATGCTGATGTGGAAACATATTAATAAAATTTTATGACTGAGTTATTAAACCAGCTGATGCTTAAGTCCCGCCCCTTTTGATGTAACACGGTCTGTCTGAGAGTTTGCATGTTGTTTGGTGATATGAGTGTGATTGTTTAAAAAGGCAACTTCCTCTTTGAAGTTTTACTTTTTTATTAGTCTTCCACACACCCCCAGCATCCTGCTGCTAAATTTCATAAAACAGGCTAATGAACAGTAAAAGCTCTTTCCAAATATTAGAAGTGGCTTTTCCATCCCCTCCAGTTTCTAATAAACAATTTCTAATATATTAAATAACAAACTGTTGCACAGCAGCAGCATGGTTTACTTGTTATGCTGCCATCATAAACACGCGCATGCACAACGGCTCCTCACAGCTCCTCTAAACATTGGGCCACACTCTCTGGCAGATGAGAGCTCAGGCTTGAACACACTTTCTGTTCTCTGTGGTAAATTAGCTTTTATATCAGTACTCACACCATCAGGCCTGTTGGAGCAACACCCGTGCGTCATGGCTGGCTCGCCTCCCTTTCCGTTTCCTGCCCTCAGCTGATCTCACAATTCTTTGCCTCTCAGAAGTCCTTTTCTTGTCATTCACTTGTATTTCTTAGCACTAATGAACTCCGAAAATCTCCATCTATAAAGTGTAAATAACAAGCTGGCATGGTGATAAATAAACAGAGGACAGAGTGGGCAAACACCGCACCATCTGGGTACACTTTCAGGACTGCAAGCAAATACTCCAAATTACTAATCATACCTTTATGGGTCATGACAGCTGTTGGTTTCTCTACATGCATGGAAATCCATTTTAATCAACTGTCGTTTCTGACAGGAAGCCTAAAGCCTTAGCCTCCAATAAAAGCAGAAAAGCCACTCTTCTGTTTAGAGAAACATTGGTAGGTAGTAATTTGACGTAAGCAAGCAAAAGCCTTCGATCTACTTCAAGTAAAGAGAAAAAGCTTCTCTTCAAGGTTGAAAAACTTTATAGCAGTCCGAAACTAAATATTCAAAGATCAGAAGGCCGATGTGAGCTTTGGGATTTTATGATTTATAATGTTTACCTGAGATTTTGCAGAAATACCAAACATGCAATTAAATACCCTTACTGCAGTGCATCTTCTTTCTTAGCTAAATTACTTATTGCACATGTCTGGGAGCTGCCATTATGATGTTTGGTAATTTAAGCTTTAATCTGAAGTCAGGCTAATCTTACTGTTAAATAACATTTCTATTTTTAGCTCAGAAGGAGAGTTTTGTTGAAATGGTGCACTGTGAGAATCATGTTTTTTTGACTTCTCATCACCATTCAGCCATGTCTACTGCAGCAGAAGATGAGTTGGTGCAGGAGTGGATGAACATCTGACTGCATGGACCATCAGCTACCTCGCCAACAGGACGCAAGGCTGCACAACTGTACATCTGAGGTGGTTGTGTGCCGTGCTGGAGCTCCACAGGGTACGGTCCTCTCGCCCTTTCTATTCACCTTCTACACCTCGGACTTCACCTAAAACACTAGCAGTTGTCACATCCAGAAGTTCTCTGATGGCTCGGCCAATGTCGGCTGTATGTCTGAGGGGAATGACCTGGAGTACAGGTCAGTCATTGTGGACTTTGCGGACTGGTGTGAGCATAACCATTTTTGTTTAAACACCAGTAAGACAAAGGAAATGGTGATTGACTTCCAGAGAAACACTCCTCCTCAATCACATCCAGGGAGCAGACATTGAGGTGGTGGATACCTTTAAGTACCTGGGTGTTCACCTCACCGGTAAACTGAATTGGTCCAACAACACAGATGCTCTGTATAAGAATGGCCAAAGCCATCTCCACCCCCTGAGGAGGCTGAGGTCCTTTGGAGTTAATTCCCAGCTGCTAAAATCCTTTTATCACTCTGTTGTTGGCTCTGTTATCCACTCTGCTGTGGTCTGTTGGGATGCAGGCAGCTCTGACCGTGACAGGAAGAGACTGGACAAGCTAGTTTACAAAGCTAGCTTGGTTCTAGGCTGCCCACTGGATCCTGTTGAGGAGACGTGTGAAAGGAGGATGCTGGTGAAGATGACCACCATCTTAAAAAACCCTCCTACCCACAGTATTCCACTGTGGAGACCATGGACAGCTCCTTCAGAGGCAGACTAAGACATCCCAGATATAAAACCCTGTCAGCCAACCAACGGATTTTCTTTCCATCGGTTATGTTAAACACAGTGCTAAAGAATCTCTCACTGTCCACACTTGTGCACGGGGCTGAGAGATCCCACTGATCAATTCCAACTAGTGAGGGAAATTGGGCAGCATTGTCCCTCCAATCGGTCAAAGGATTTGCAGACTGCATACGATTTGCTCAGTGAGGTAAGTTTGCACTTGAGCCAATGCAGATGAAGAAGTCACAAATCTCCTTTCCTGCTCACGTTCTCGCACGATCTCTTCAAATGCACTGCAATGGCTGGTGTGTGAGCTAAGTCGTGGTTCTTCTGGCACATCAATAGGCGTGTTTCCACTACAAGAACTTAAGGATAGAATTACAGGAACCTCCCAACATGCGCAAGTCCCCATCTGACCGGGCCACACGAACGTCCGTTTTTCAGGTCGTTTTCAGGAACCTTCTGAGTACCTGCTCTGGAGTAGGTACTCCGAACGGCCCAGTGGAGTAGCTGAGCAGAGCCTTCAGTTAACTCACGCTTATTGGTTGTAACTCAGTAGGAAATGGCATCAGCAGACGTCCAAAACAACCGGCAGCAGTAAAATTAGAAAAGTAGCTGGTGAAGAAAAATGGAATAAAAATAATAAATAAATAAATAAATAAATAAATAAATAAATAAATAAATAAGCAGCCATCGCATCTAAAATCTAACTCCCGACACCGGAAAACTGGGAAATTCCCCCACAGACTTAATTAACAGCTTTTCTCAGAAAATTCGGAACTGCTCTTGTCCTCGGAAGGGATTAAATTATGATATACTTCTATAAAATAAATGCTTTTAATATTATTAATGTTACTTGTGGTGCTTTTCGGCGCTGATCAGTGACATCACTTGCTGCCAAAGCAGTTGTGATATGCTGACGTCTGTGCAAGTTCTGAAAGGGCAGGGCATCTTAAACCACCTCATACTTTAGAAAAAAAAGAAAAGAGTTGGAAGACTAGATGAAGTCTCAGTTCCAGTCAGAAGGATCTAAAAGTGTGATGACTGCAGGTCTGTGACATTTTTTTTTTTACCCGTGAAGGTGTGAAAAGTTTTTTGAGCCTTTTTTGGTCTGTTTTTATGGGCTAAAAGTGTTGCATACGTTTCTTTTTCTCTACCA